CCCGCCACAGCCCAGCAGGTTTCTGGGGGAACTCAAATTATTTCTGCAGTTCAGAAGCTGCATATCCCTAAAGCATTCCCTTGGGAAACACCAAGCTTTCCACAAGCATTTTCTACTTCAATTTGGACTTCAGCACATTTAGGGACAATTTAAATCAGAATGAAGGGACTTGGTGACACCACAGCATTGAGTCAGGGACATTTGAGTCAGGACACTCAAACCATACTCACTCTCCAGCCCCAGCACTTCTGTAGCCTCCTCATTTCTCACTTCTATTTCAAGGACTCCCATCAGGAAACAGATCCCTGTTCCCAGAAGCAAATCCCCAAGGCCCTTTTTACAACCTGCAAACCACAAGAATGACCAAGGGCAGTTGCTGGCAGAGGACACAAAGAGGATTGTGGGGATCAGATGCCTTTACCTGGGAGGGCTCCAGCTTTCACCTGCCATCCACAAGCAGCTCTGAATTTTCATGCTGCTTTGCTTCACAGGGCCTTTTCTGCCAAGCTCACTGCGGGAGGATTTTGTCTTGTCTTGAGACACGTCTTACAAAGCTGAGCTTCAGGAGAACTGCGGCACTTTTGATTATTCCTGACTCTTCCAGGGCTGCACTTGCCAGGATCCTTTGGGCACGAGGAACCTTCCCGACTGCTCCAAACCTTCACAGCCCACTTGCTCTTCTTGGCACAGCTGGACCAGCTCACTGTCCCTGCAGAAAGAGAAGGCAATGATCCTTTCTGAAACCAGAACCTCCCCAGCTTTGCTTCCCCATTTCATATTTTGTTCCCTACACAACTAAAGCCACTCCAGGGCTTGCCAAGTGGCAGTCAAGGAATCCAACCCAAGAACCTGCCAGGGAGCAACATCTGTGCCACAGCAACAGCATTCCAGGCCTGTCACTGCCAACCCTCCGCTTCTCCCAACAGCTCCAGTGGCACCGGAACTTGCCCTGAAGGCAGAAAGGCTCCTTTAGGGAGCACCACGAGCCATCTATCTATAAGGTAACACTGGAATTCCATCTCCTGCATGGACAAGCTGGGAAAAGCAGGGAAGAAAACTAGAATCTTACAGGTCAGTTAGGGGCACCTCTTCATCCAACAGCAGCTCCAATAAAGGTACTGAGTCAACACCTCACCAAAGACACAGGAAAACAAGTGCCAAGAGCTCAACGATCATTCCAGTTTTCAGACACTTCAGAAGAGTCAATCTCATTTTAACCAGTTTGTGGGACTTGTTCCCAGCCTCCTGAAACTCATTTTCCACCTCACTCATGGCTGCACTAGAGCTGGTTCTACACACACAAACACAAAGAGCTGCTGCTCCTTGAGTCCAGTTTCCTGCTTCTCCTTGAAACTCCTCCAGCTGTTTGCCCAGCTCTCCAGTGTCCACTCCTTTGCCCACTGGACTTGTTCACAGCCCCAGGGCTCCCAGGGCCACCCTGGGCTCTCACCTGCCCTCACACCGAGTGACCTTTCCCAGCCCCGAGTCCAGCCGGCACTGACCAAGCTGCTGGGAGCTGCAGTTCTCCCTGCTCCTTCCCTCCCTCTGCCTGGAAAACACCCCTTCCAGCTCCGGCACCCCCACCTCTTACCTCCCAGAAAAGCAGAGCTGCATCCTCCTGG